AATATATTTATTTTAAAATAGATTTTTTTTCTTCAATTTTTCTTAGGTTTATTACTATTTTATAGTAGTTTTATTGTGAGAAATTTTATTTATTTTTAATCTAAAAATTTCTAACTTAAAACAAGCTTTATGCCAAGAGACCCCCCTCCTTTATGTATACAGTAAAACCTGCCTAAACCGGAATATATCTTTTGGATTTGACAGGTTTCCGTTTTGAACTTGTCTTACTGTATATGTTTATTTACCGGTGTATAGATATGGTATGTTTATATTCGGTTATATATTTAGTGTAACGAGGTTTATATATAGTATATCTGGATGTAACTATTGTACATCGGGATGTAGATGTGGTATATCGGGTTATAGATATCGTATACGGTTGACCCCCCTATAACACTGTTGATAATTCCGTTTTATATGAATTCCATGTTGTACGAGTCACTTAGATTTTACAAATACGTGTGTCGGGCTGTGAACGGCTCACGTATTTGTAAAATCTAAGTGACTCGTACAACATGGAATTCATATAAAACGGAATTATCAACAATGTTATAGGGAGCCTATTTAAAATTGAAAGGCATCTTAAGTTCTAGGTATCCTTAAAGTATTCTTAAATTCGAAGTAAAACAATACATATAATGAAAAATTGAGCAAAGAGAAAATATTTAAAAATAAATTAAAGTATATATTTATGTATGCATGCATGTGCTATATGTGTTTTATATAGCCTATATATAAAATAAATCACAAAAAAATAAATAAAATAAAATTAGAATAATAAATAATTTACAGCTTAAATATACAAAAATTCAAGTAAAAATGAGATAATTTTATATTTAAATAAATAAAAAGTTTTACAGGAATTCACCCCATTTTTACATGTTTTTTTTAAAATGTGATAAAGCATCAAATGTATAAAATAAACGACACGTCAAATATAATTAATGACTTTATATAAATGAAGGAAAAAATATAAGGAAATATTTTTTATTATTATAATAAATTGGAGAAATGTAGACAAATATCAAGATTTGTCCTACATCTATAGTGCACTATGTGAAGAAGAAAGTGAAATTTACAGATTTTTAACATAAAATTTAAGAAAAGTAAAAGTTAAAACTGATAAATTTACATCTAGGAAAAGTGTAAACATTTCTTTTTATTTAATGTATTTTTTTTACATGTAAATATTATACAAACCTATGAATCATACATATCAATATTAGTATATATAGGATAATTATGGTATTTTTTTATATAGAACAAAATAATAATCCATTAATCTACTTAAAATCTAGTCTTATAATGATTTTGTGCGGATGCAGGTTGGAAAAAAAATTAAAAAAGAAGGTTTTTAGAACATTTTCTAGGTGAAAATACGTTATAAATAGTATATTTGAAAGCAATAAAGTATACTAGATGAGAGAGAAAATAATATGAAATTTTACTATAAAAATAAATAAATTTTGTAAAAAAAAATAAAAAGAGAAAACTGTAAAAAAAATCATCAAAGTAATCTCCGCATCACGAAATTATATAAAATTTAACAGTATGTCATTGAGTTAAGTAGTAGCACGATAGAAATTAATATTGTCTCCCTATATATATATATATAATTTTTATTTTCCTTGATATGCACGAATACATTCTCTTTACTTCCGTTTTAAATAAATGTAGCTTAAAGGAAATTTGCTATACTTTAATGTTTCAATTGGGTTATTCTTAAACAAGGCTGGACTTAGATGTTAGACTATGCTATAATATGTAACAGGCCCTATTCCGTTAAATAATAATACATCTAAACATGTGAGGCTCTGAGTTATAACATGTAACAGGTCCTTCCCTACCACCAAATAACGATAAATATATAAAAATGTGAGATTCTAAGCTAATAGTGTGAGGCTCTTGTTTAGCTTATGTGCAAATCTTGCCTTATTGACATAAATAACAATGGAATAAATAATAATATCACCATAATACTTTAACTTACTAGCTCGAATGGCATTAAAAAAGAAGAATTTAATCAGAAGGAATCGTAATTTATAGAAATTTAAAAATTCACTTCAATTTTCTGATCTTACTCTTCTTTATTTGTTCTGTTATGACTTTTATTTCTATTATAAATCAACGTCAATGTACTAAGAACAATATGAAGCACATACAAATAAATTGGTCTTTAAATGAAGAGTTTTAAGCTCTTAAACTATTTACTGGAGTGTCAATGTACTTCGACTTTCATCGAAAACTATATTTAGTAAGATCAGTTTATTATAAATGATGCTTTTATATAATTATAGAATAATTTTTCTCTCGTTTAGGCTCTGTGATAATATACTATAATACTTATCTCTCGTGTATATTATATAATAATTGTTTAATAGCGCTATCAATCTGATTAGTGAAGATTTTAGACTAAGATTTTCGTCTAGGGCCTAGGAGTTTTCCCTCTCGACGGCTCTGCAAAGCAATCTACACTTTTGACACGGGCCTTGCACTTATATACTGTGCGATTCGAGGCCCTAAAAACCACATGTTTATCAATATTCGACTTTGTTAGATGTCTGGACTTTGTACAGTATCATATGAGATGGGCATTACATTATATAAAACTGTATAAAGGATCCATACCCTGCAAGATTTATGTTTGCTGGGGCATGCTTTCTGGGGCCTCGCGATTCACGGTTAGGGCCTCACGAATTAAAACCATTACTGATTCTAATACTTTTCTTGACGCTTAGACAAATTCTAAGCACGCAAAATATTTATATAATATATTTATTTTTTGCATTTCTATCATCACAATCTCACGTTCTAAACACGTTATATATCAGCAGAAGATCTATAAAATCGAAAACTCGTCATTCCTTTCTCGATTATTTTGCCTTTTACATCAAGATTGTAAGCTAGTTTACCCGACATGCGATATTGCTTTTGTTATTTTTTATTACAAGGAAGTATCGTATGCCGCTTTTACAGCACAATTTCCGCATTTACTTCTGTACAAATCAGACTTTGAAACAAATTAAATGTTCAAAAAGCATATAAAACCTTATTATATAATTATTTATATTTAATGATAAATTGATATTCTGAAAACTATATAGCCTATACTGTATATATTATCTGTAAACTATGCAAATAACTTCTTGAAAATGGAAAGTTGTACTTGTAACAAGGTTATTTTGTGTAGAAAAATGTGTGGTTATTTATGTAAAACATTACCAATTTTTGTATATTTAAATGCCTAAATTGTCTACTAAATCGTATCAATTACGCTATTTTAGAGCAACACGGTTTATGGGTTAATTGTATTTATTAAAAAATTCCGAAAGTATGCATCAGAAACAAACCAAAATTTATAAAATTTCCAAAAAATTATAGTGCAAAGTAAGAAAAAACCGAAGAAAAGTAGCAGAAAAAAAAAACGCAATTCTTCGCATATAAGCTATAGCAAATCAATTGATTTGCTATAACTTCATCACAGGGTCTCCCCAGAGAATGAAGAGTTGTCGGTGCAAAGACCAGTTTGGGCCCCTCTCGAAGACCCTGCCTATACAAATAACAATGAAATCGGAGTAAAAAAATAATCAGAAAATGGACAATTATCCCCTCTGATGAGCTCCCTAAAGCTCACGGACCTTCAACTGCATCCCCCTCTTAGCGTCTTTGGGGGGCTTAATTACAGGACATTATACAGGCTGATTTTTTAGTAATTACTAAAAAATATCATTCGTCACAGAAATGTGTTAATTTGAAATTAAAATGAACAGATCGTTCCACGCTATTACCCTATATATTTGTATATTACGCTTATAGACATATTAAAGAGCGTTATTTCGAATGATTATCGTGTGTAGCTATGTATATCAACCGAGAAAAATGGAAAAGAAACTATTATTTAGCCTAATATCGAAGTAAAGAGAGTTTTTAAAAAGTATTTGTACGCTCGAATACTTTGTAACAGTACTTAAAATGACGAGGGAAAAATGATAGAATCGATATTGATGTAGTTATTGCCAGATACGTGTTATCTACGCATGTAATTATGCCTGAAACAGTCTTCCTTTTGATTTAATTAATGATTTATAAACTATTTTGCTTGCATAAATAAGTGTATATTTTATTTATTAAGTTTTTCAATTATTTTTATTAATAAAAATTAATTAATTATTGGTATTTGTGGAAGGGGAAAATGGAGTATTGATTCAACTGAATTATAATTTAAAAAAATACAGCAAAACCTTAGTAAACCGGAATCACACAGTACCTTATATTTACTGTTTAGGCAGGTTCTGTTTAGGACAGGTTTTTTTTTACAGGTGGGCTATTCCTATTGACAAAACAGGCAGTTACTTGGGGCCCCAAAACAAAATATTACAGTACATGGGGCTCCTAATACAAATTCTCCCTGGCTCCATGAAGCTATAATGCGCTACTGGTTTTTTAAATATAGAAAATCGCTTCGTTTCGAAGCGATTTTTTCCGTTTCGGACAGGTTTCACAATATTTATCTAAAAGAATTTACGTGCATTTCTTTAAAAAGCAGCAAAAATAAATTTCAGCTTAAAAAATAAAATTTAAAAAAAATCAAGTAAATTTCCCTGATTATAAACAAAATTACAGGTAGATTTTTCTTTAAAAAAATCCGGAATATTTGAATGAAACAGGTAATTTTCCTTTAAGAAAAAGGGAAATTTTAAATTCAAAACTAATTTAAAAAAAAAAAAAAAAAAAAGCTAAACAAGGGAGAGAAATTTCTAAACTAAGTGTATAAAAACAGGTAGCACACGCACCTTTTAATATTCTACAATCGTACAAGAAAGGCCTAAGCTAACCCAAATAAAGTAAAATTACACCCTTATTTTCTTTCACTTTATTCAAGCATAATCAATTTAATAAGATTTCATTATTGTTATTATTATGTATACGTGTTTACATACATACAAACACACATACACACACACCCCAACTGCCTTTCTACCCCATTGAAATTAGTTAAAAACGACTCTCTCTATCAATTCAAATAGAAAAAAGTAAGTAATTTCAATTTAGAAACTTAAGTTTTCCCTTTCAAAAGCAATTATTAGCTTAGTTGTTAAAGAAAATTGTAAGCGTGTAAAGCGAAACCGCAAGACAAAACCGAATTACGGACAACGACTTTCGTATACAGTATTGTTACTGTAGAAGCAGTGAAACCAGTTGCCATACACGACTGCTGGGGGAAGAGAACAAACGAGTTTGCTTGAGTGAAATCCCTTCATGCCCTACTTGCCTGCAACGATAGATATGGGTCACAGCAGACATGGCGAGTAGAGATTAGGTAGAATACTACCTGGGGTAAACGGTGCAGCGACTTGCACCTCACAGCACCGTTCTCACTCACTCTTGTCGGTTAGTGGATAATGTCCACCGGGATAACACTGTGATTTAAAACTTCATCCCTGTGATGCACGGTTATATTTGAATGGTAAGTGATATATAATTCTTCTATTGTTATTATTATTATTATTCGACACCTGTAAGTGGGGATTTTTTAATTAAGGAGATACTGGGATTAATCCTGTATTAGCACGTGCTATAAAAGCACCCCGTTATTCGTCACTCTTGGTTATAGGCACAGATTGTTATATTTAAATTTCGAAAGATTTTTCTAAGTTTTCACCTAACCAGGAAGTTGTTTTGCCCACACTAAAATATTCGGGTTCTGTTGAAGGCAATCAAGATTTAAAACACCTGTATACAGAAGGTCACTTTTACGTAAAGTAATACCTAAAAGTAAGGTCTATGCTTTAAAAAAAAAATGTAGTTTGTTTTCAGGTAAGATCAATTAATCGAAAATTAAAGTAAAATTCAATCGAATAATCTAACTTTCACTTAGATTTTCTGGTGTAAAAGAGAGCTCACAGAAGAGCGTGTTTCTGTATAAACACGCGAGAGACAATAGAAAACCTTTACAGAGAAAAACGAGAATGAAATTTACCTGCAGATCAATTTTTATACGAGTTCTAACTTATTGAATTTCTCATACGCCCAGAAATTTTTGTATAGATACGTGAGAAAACAATGGCGTTTAATTCGGAATAGATTAAAAATAAGATTAAAGCCTTCACTCCATCAGCAAGATATTAATTTTAATTACTGTTTCCCTTTTTTTTTTTATGTAGTTAGAGTGGCAGTGGTGGTGCGCCGGTTGACTCGTTAACATCCATCCCTATCAATATTCCATCCCGATCTTCACTCATGTTCATCCAAACAGTGTTAATAATTCTAAGTGTCCTTTGGCCTATAGGGCACGTAGGCGCTACACCTCAGGTAAGGTCCTAGTTTTTTTTTTATATATATATATATACTTTTTTTATAATTCGGAACGGAAGGTGAGCTAATTTAGGTCATTTAGAAAAAAAAAGAAAAGGCAAGACAACCCAAAACTGACCGCCTACGGAAGTAACAATTGCTTTATTTTAACGAAATTACCCGGAATTGATCTAAATTTTCGCAAAAAAATGCCTTTTTTTCAGGAAATAATTGTCGGAAATTAGAAAATTTGTAAAGATAAGAAAATTGTGTTTTCGATTCGATATTTATCTTCGTCTCGAAATTATAAACAAACCGTTATCGAATTGATACTCAAAACGTGTATCACTATGAAAAAATTAAGTAAAACAGGTTTATCTACCGAGATTCTTCGCCAATTTGCATGCAATGTACTACTCCACCTCTTCTCAGATGATTCAAGGTTTTTGGCAGATGCCCATATAAACTGTTCCTGTATGATCAGTGGCGCGTTATCCTATGGGCAAAAGGGGCAATTGTCTAGGGCCCCAACTAGCAGGGGGGTTCTTAACCAATATTTTATAAAAATGTCTGAAGTCAACACTGTACATAGATTCCCCTAATTCAAATTTGCCTGGTCCTCATGACCTCATGCCACTGTGTGTAATCTAACAACAACAATAATAATAATACAGAAATTGTTCGATTGTTCGGGGTGTGGCATATACTTCTTTCATTATTGTCTGGAGCGTGATTATTACACTGGAGAGCCTTTACAAACGGGAAACACTTTCACAATTTATATATTAATGGGGCCTACTTTCATTCAACAATTCTTATCTAAGACTTTAATTGAACTCCTTAAAAAAGGCACTTGTTTTCTCTTACCACAAGACGTAATTTATGTCACTAATTTCAAGTATATTTTTAATTGTTATCACTTAAAAACATCTTGTTTCGTGTGTTCTGTATGTATGTATATATATATATATATATATGTATATTCTTGTCAAATTGCTTCTTCTATTAGTATTATCTAAACTTCTCAATAAGTATTCTCAGTCCCAGTCACCACTACTACATGTCAAACACGTTTGACCCAAATATAACATTAAAGTACGCCCCGAGCATTGTCCAGACACTTTTTCGACTTATAAAAGACAGATTACAATTAAAATATATGGAAAAAAAAATTAATTAAACTAATCTACGTTAAGGAGAAATGCGATACTTTCTTAGAAAACTCGACAAGGAATTGTTTCTCTCGGTGTTTTTGTTGCATGGACACGTTATAAGATAATAACCCTTGGCCTTAGATGTATTATTTTTTTTAAACGATTTCTTTTAATTTTTATGATCGTTACACAATCGCTTGTCGAATTTTAAGGCAGTTAAGGACCTTGGAATGGTTTTTTACTTAATGTTAAGAGCGTCACGATCCATTGTTTCCGCTCGGAGAACCCAAATCGCGTGTTATTGAAGGCGTTGGCTCTTCACGTAAATGTATGAATTTTATTGTCATTTTTCTGTTATAAATGTCACAATTATTTTAATAACGTGCGCTTTAATTTGGCTGTAAAAAAATCCCTTTAAATTGCAGAAAAATTTGCCACATTCGAACGACTACCGTGTATAATGCGCATTCCTCGACAATTATCTACTGAATTTAATTACTTAATTTTTAACTACAAAAAATACTTTATACTCTATTTATTTTATAGTTAAATGTGGAATATATATATATAAATTACTGTATTTTTAATAAATAAAAAAATCAAAGAATTTTGAAAGGAAAACGTGATTTTTTTTATACTAATCACGGATAGGAATGCCAAATTTTCTTATCAGGAATTTAAAGGAAAATGTAAATAACATGTGAAACCAACATAAAAATTTGCATAAATATAGAATTTAACAGGAAATCGTATCTAAAATTGTACGGCAAGATACAACGGAACTAGTAAGAGAAACAAGTAAAAATAGGCATTAATTAAGCGCAAAAATAGAAATTTAAATGACATTTTCTAATTGGAAAAAGAAAAGAAAAAAAAAATGACAGGAAACTGTCTTAAATAATTACAATTACGTACATATAAATGTTAATTAAAATTTGATTTTTGTACATAATTTTTCACTTAAACGTGATTGCTAATGACTTAACTCGAATGGGAAACGATAGAAACGTGATTCATCTTTGCAGTGGAATTACATGTTTTTTTTTTTTTAACTTGTAATTTTAAATGTAATTAAATGTAAGTTAATTATAATTAAATGATTCATTTAAATGTATATACTTCTAAGCAAAAGTCCCGAATCGGAAATGTTAAATATCGCATGACTGCGGACGGAAAAAATTGTAATTTCACTACATGATTCTAGTTTCCCAATAGGGGAATATTTACAAAAGGTTAATGGCCAAAAAGTAAGCCATCTTGAGGGAAGGAAAGTAAAAATACTAATTTTTCTTTCAACTAAGGTATGTGATAAAATTAAAAAAAAAAATATATATATATATATATAAATAAATTAAAAACAGAACTTTACTGTTATCTCATAGCCTATATTATCTATTTAAGATTATATCGATATATTAAATTATTAATTTTTTGCGTTTAAATTTTGCCTGTTTTTTGGACTACAAAAATTAGAAAAATTTCATTGTAAAACGATCATTTTTTACCTAAAAAATTCCTATTTTTATAGGCAAATTTTACGGTGAAATAGGTGTAAAAATTGGTTAATAATTTCGAGCGAAAATGGTGATTTCGCAGTATAAAGTTTTACAAATTTTCAGTAAAAGCATTAGTAAATTTCACTTTTGGTGGTAGGCTCTTTGAGGTAAAGGTATATAATTTTTTTTTTTTATCTTAAAAAATAATTTTTAAAAATAATTAGAGTGAGAAGGAGATGTACACAAACTAAAATCTGGCTTCTTTTCAAAAATTAAATGACGATGATCATAAAGTGACTGGTGCAAAGTTCAAGGTTTATCATCATCGATTGAGGTCAGGGACTTTACTAAAGCATAAGTAGCGGTTCTTTTTATTATTATTATTATTATTATCATTATCATTTATCAATTTTTCCGCATCGTAATTATATATTCATCACCTGAATATAACTTTTCTTTTTTTTTAAATTAGAATTAAATATTTTTTTTTATAGATAAAGTTGAATGTTTGTAAAGAGTGATAGAGATAACATAGGATACCATATCTTTGTCATAAATGTAATAGTTAAATTTTTTCCTGAAGACATTATAATGTATGAATAAAATCGAATTTTTGCACGAAAAAGATTGAATTTTCGGGCTATTCTGCTTTTTTTTGACAAAAGCCAAAAGGCCCTACAAGTAATTAAATGTTCTGCTAAATGTTTTGGGAATATAGGGCCCTAATAAAAAAAATCAATGGAACACCTGGATAATAATTTTGGCTCATTTATGGAATATAGAACCCCCATATTAAAAATATCTGAACTTATATGCAAGATTATCCTGAATTATGTTAACTTCTTCGAATACAAATTATAAATTTCTGATTTTTATCATAAATTTTTCAAAATTAACTCATCAAATAAGAAGTTATGAAACGACACTTTTGTAAAAAAAAAAAAATATTAATAATAATCATTACAGCATAAATATCATAAAAATAACTCATTTTTAATTTTAAAGAGACCATTTCTCGTCATATGATTAAGAAAACGTTAATAAATTTCACGCTCGAAGCCCTAAAAAAAATGTAAATAAATTTATCATCACGACTGATCTTCATAGAGTTCATTAACATCAACAGATGAACATATAGAGAAAATGCAAGAATTAATTCCCACATAGAAAGAAAAAAAATCAGCAGAGATTTATTATCTTCATGGTGCCAGGAAAATTCATTCCCTAATTAAAAATTACGTTCAGAAATTATTTTTATTTTTATTTTTAAAGATTCTGAGATTGTCAAATTGCCATTCAAAAACAATACAATTCAACAATTTGTAAGATTAAATCTACATAAACTTAACTTTTATCACTTTTCCTCCAATAAGTTCAAACAGGGACAAATTTTCTTTTAAATTATTCTCTAGAGACTTCCCTCTACACTCTAACGTATACGTTAGATTATATATATATATATATATATATATACTGTAGAATAATGTATATAGATTTAGTCCTGGGGCAATCGAGCAAGCAGGTCAACAACCGTTTTGAGTCAAAAGTCACCACACCAATAGTTTTCAAGTGCATTAAATCGACTTCCTTGCTTAATTTAGAAAGTTTCTGAGTGATTGTGATTCAAATTAACGCGAAAGTGGGACACTTATACACGTCATAGAGGTTTGCGGGATGTCGAAGGAGACAGTGTTAAGGTCACTTCGGGCAAACTGAGCAGATTGATCACTTTCATAAACCACGCCTGAACTTTTCAGATAAATATTAGCTCGTGTAGGTGAGTGGCCTGCGAAAGGAAGATAAGAAATGATCCTGTAGGAAAGTGTTTTCTTAAACATGTGTTAAGTAATTGTGTCGACCGAATTACGAAACTAAATTTAATTCCTTCGTTAGTGTTACTATTTTTTTTTAAGTAATCAAATTTATGTGTGAAAGTATTGTTTAAGAAGCTGAATTAGTGATTTTAAGGGTATAAAAACGTTTAATTCAGCTCTACTTCTGCATTATACGTGATTAAATGCAATGACACACCTTAAAAATTGGATAAAAATCAAGAAAAACATGGGAACTTGTTATAGTGACCACCCGAAATAGTAAATAATTTTCTTGGTCCTTATCATTCTTTATGTATATAGTGAAATATCGATACAGTGAATGATTTAGAGGAAATTACCTGTATATAAATGGAGTTATGTAATAATTTTAAAAATTTATTTAATATATTCTTAATCGATTTAACACTATAAATAGCAGTTACATAAACTAAATTTATGTTTTTAAGACTATATATTTGTCCACCGCTTATATTTAGTCGCATTTAATTCATAAAAAGAAAAAAAAGTGCTAATTTTAGAGTTAGATGTATAAAAATATTAAGAACTATTTATAAATTATTTTTTCTTCAATTTTTATTTTAAGATTCTGAATTAATTTAAGCAAAAGAAAGATTACAATTTTCTTTTGAGAATAATTTATAAACGAAATCTCAAAGCACAGAAAATCGTGTCTTATGAGAACGATTTCTTGCTATCAAAAGAGTTTTTAATTGACCATTGTATCATCTATTGAGGTCAGTCCAAAGTGTATATATATATATATACGAAGAAAATATTCGGTGTAGAACACAAAATGGCACGAGTAGATTACAAATTTATGAATAAAAAGTCATAAAAATACATCTTTACTAATGCAAAATCGATTTTTCTAGGTCAAGATTATCGTAATATCTTTAAAGACACAGGTTTAAATTATACAGAAACGTTAACTTTGTATCACTATCACGAGCTCGCCCCACCAGCATATTGCATCCTCTTTAACATGACAGATTTATGGCTGTACGAAAGAATACGCGTGTATCGACGTTTATAATACATCGTTAAATTTATCAAAGAGGAAATTTTCAAGTGCAGGAAATCAAAATTATTCTAATAAAATAGTTATATTATTCGAACGTTTCTCATTAAGTAAGTAGAAAAATAAAACAGGTGTTGTATTGTGTGTTTAGTAGAGTGGAACTGAACCTGAAAACCTGATTTAATTCGCTGAGAAAAGGCTAAATTTTCGAGTGATTAAAATCAAATTCCTTTTTAAAAATGCTTGAAATTTCTAAAATTAAACTAATTTTCTGGTAAAGTAGAAGAAACTAAATTCTTCACTTTTTTTTTATATTTTCAGAAGAAACTAAACTAATTTTTTTTTTAATAATTCTCCTCTATTTTTATTACTTTTTCAATTATTTTTTGTAAGATTTATAGTTTAGTAACATGAAGTTATATTATTTATAAATTTATTTTAGATAAATCCACTTATTTTTGATATAATAATGTAAGTAATTTAATATCTAAAGATGAGGAAAACACGATAAAAATCAATAAAAACTACTCTTTCTACCAAGAAAAAAATAAATAAAGATTCATTGTCCAGTAATTTCTAATCAATTAAAATGGGTGCAATCACTTTTGTTAATGGATGAAATCATTATCCTCAATTGTTATTACATGTTAGTGATTTTTATTATAGGTTACTTTAAGGGAATAGATCTAGAAAGTGCCTATTTAATTAACTAGCAATAGATTTTCCTCAATGAATTGCTCATTATTTTCATAAATTTGCTTAAAAGTTAAGTGTCTAGCATGCATTATCAATGAATAAACTAAGTAATAAACCTATTATCATTAGCATAATAATTATCTGTTAACCTTTAATACACAATAAACTTCTTGCACTTTCTCTAACTGTCCTTTTAAGGTCGTTTAGTTACTGAAACTTGTGACTAATGTCGAAAGAAAAACAAGTTTCTAGACCTATATTATCGATTGTAATGATCAGTAAGTATGAAATTCGTACTTGGATGAGAACAGATTTGCATTTAACAGTTAAAGAATAAAAGAAAACTTAATGATAATCAATAGAGCAAGCAATTTTCTACTGGAAAGTGAGGAAAAAAGTAACAAAAGTTAATTAAATTCTAGCCTTTACTTTGAATTCAGCTTGATTACTCTTGTTCGTCCCTGGCATTAGATTAATCTTTACGCTTTCCAACGCTTTATACCCCAAGAAAACAAAAATAGAGTCCTGATACAGTGAACAATTTTGTTGGTCTTTCCTAATCTTTATGTACAGGGTACGTATTGAACTCTTGGTATAGTAAATAATCTTGTTTACTATATCGAGATTTCGCTACATTGAAATTTCAGAAAGTCAAGCTAACGAGGAAATGGTTTAAATATCTAGGGTGAAAGGCTATTTATACAAAGAAATATCTAAAATTAACAAAGGGGAGTTATGATACTAATGTTTTTTTTTCGATCATACATTCTAAAAATATCAATCAAATCTATAGAAGTCACGTTAAATGAAAGGAAAGAAATTGTTCCGCTATTAACTATCCATGTAATTTTTACAAAACTATTCCCACTGGATAGCTTATTTCCCACTTCCTGACTTGGTCTAGTCATTTGAAGTCAGCCAAGCATCTCTGTCCTACATTTTCTGTTCTCCTTCGTTATGTTCTATTTATGAACATAAGTAAGAGAAATCTATACATTCAATGAGACCGCCCTCGTGTCCTATAAAACAATGCATCGAATCATCCAATTCATTTTTTCTTTCTATACTTTTATATGACATTTAATCGTTTCAAAGTCATCGTGTTTGTAACAAATCTTTATCTTTGATTATCCTGTGTAAGGTCTGTCGTCTTCTCCTCGTGTTTTTTTGTGTGTGTACTGTACATTATACATTTGTGAAGTATTAATGGTTATAAATAACGTATTATATGTGTTAATTTTAGTATAAACCGTGTAAAAAATAAGAATTGGAAGAGTTATGTATGTGCGAAATGGGGTCAAGAAATATATAGATTTAGATGCGAACAACTTACTTTGAATATAATTTCTGTTAAATTTTCTATCTTCTCGCGTATTTTGACCCCGTTCCCTTTTTATACACAAAATTTCCTGCTTGCTTTTTATATGAATAACACACACATGAGCTGGTAAAAATGCACTTTCTCCGTTGATGGAACAATGTAGCCTGAAGACATATAGAATTTTCTATATTAAAATGACATCATAATTCACAAATTTATAATTAAATTCTAGTCTTTTTACAATATATAAACAGTAAATTTATGAAAAAATTTAATAGTTTAGTGGTTCTCAACCTTGGGTATACACACCCCTAGGGGTGCCACACTTCTATTAGACACTTGGGATGATAACATTTTTCTTTCTTGATTGCTTAAGCTGTACCAAAATTAGATGCAGCTTCTCATGTTCTAACTACAAGTGAGAACATGGGATACATTAAATACATAAAATTAATTTTTTATTGGGTGTACAAGAGTATATTTTAAAAACTGAAGTGTGAAGGCAGAAAAGAAGGTTAAGAATCACTAGTTTAAAACTCTTGTAGAAGAATTAGCTAATTATATAGGCCTATATATAGTCTATAGGTTACAGTATAGAAATTACTTATGGAAGATTATACTACAGACCCCATCAGTGGTACGGATCCATGAAGGTGTAAACCTTCATGGATCTGAGGTAAATTTGAATTAGGAGTTCCATGCACAGTGTTGACTTCAGACGTTTTTCTTATAAAAGATTGATTAAAGGGGCCCCAGGCAAATGCCTTTTTTGCCCATAGGATAACTCGCCAATGGATCCCATCTATATTAAGGCTCTTCCTTACAATTTTCCATATATAATCTCTATAAAATATGTATATATAGTCGTTATTCTTTATTTATAAAGAAAAGTTATCATCATTAATCTTTTAAATATTCTATAAAATAATTAAAAATAGTAATTTATAGATTAATCTTTAATACTTTTACAGGTCCATGGAATTAACTACTAAAGTTTTAAATGATTAAATTCCTGTTTTATTGACTTTATCGAGCTTTCATAATTAAGAAAATATTTAATTTTATCAAAAAAATTCTATTTTATTCAAGAAATTATACGTTTTAGAGTGCAGTAAAGGTTTATAATTTCATATACTGAACCCTGAAATATATAACTTTTAGGTATTTCTGTATAGTTTACTGTGTTAGTTATACAATATTATGTAATTAGAACCCATAGATCTATCGATATTCTTCAAAAATAATTTTAAAAAACTGTAAGAGTGGGCTAGTATATAGATACCTAGTATATAGTATTGCCTAGTATTGCCTACTATATAGATACTAGGGAATCTTAACTAGGGTTTTAACTCACGCAAGACCATAAAAAATTAATTTATAACTAAAATATTCATAATTTGTTTGTATAAACACCTAATTTTTATTCTTATTAAGCACTTTATAGAAAAAAAACTGTTAATAATTTCCAAAAAATAGGCAAACTTTTAAAGATTTATCTTCAAAATATCTACAGTTTATATATTTCCCTTACATATATAACTAAAATTAGTATAAAAAAGATATATATATATTTTTTTTCTTTTCCCCCCCACAAATTCCGATTAATCACGAGTCAAGTTAGTCCATTAATAAATCATTTGAAATTGCCTTGACCAGGAAATTAGAAATGTAATGAAGCAATTGATGTATATTTTTCATTCATCCTTCAAAAGTGTCAAGTTTTTATCACGAAAAAAACTTGTTATAATATAAAATATATCACAATATTTTACTTAGATTTCAATATATAATGTTCCAAAAATAAATTTTAGATACACAAGGTGATGACGAGAGGTGAATTATTAAGGACATTTCAAGTATCATCCGCAAATGATGGTAAGTTTATATATTTAAACGTTTAATACTGTATTTAATTTATGTATAAAAAGTAGTTAAATATATTTGTAAAGAAATATAACAATAAAATAATATACTTTTTTAACAATACTAATTATTGAAATACACTAAATTGCCTTATTAAAGAAATATCAGGGCCATTCTATGATTCTATACTAGCATCAGACATCTTTAATCTGAGTTATTATGAATCCTGGAATGATCCTGGATCAGTTCTAATCTTGATTATAACCTTAGAATGGTTCTGCATCCTGAAATGATGCTGGTTTTTTTACCTTAGAAAGGTCCTAGATTGGTACTGATCTACATTCTGGAATGATCCTGGTTCCTGAAAGTTCTGATCTACAACGTTAGCATTCTGCATTCTGGAATGCTGATGATCTCTATCTTAGAATGGTTCTGCATTCTAGAATGGTGTTGATCTCTAACCTCAGAATAGTCCTAGATAATGGTACTGATTTGCAATCTTGAATAGTCTTAGATCCTGGAACAGTTCTAATCTATAATCTTATAATGCTCATGAACTATGGAATAGTCCTGATATTTCTTAATAGACAACAGTATAAACAGCGTCATCCTAATTACAGATATTAAAATACATAATTTATATAATTGAATATTTTACCATCATCATGCAACCATTTAAAAAAAATATTAAACATTGTTTATACAACTGCATCACAACTAAATATTCTTTCTTTTATTTTAAAATCTTTTAAGTGCACAAATTATAAATTTATCAATTTAAAATCTTAAAAATAAAGAGATATATATCTATTCTTCGAATAAAAATAGCCTTTTATCCATTGTGTCAGGTAGCTAAACTATTAATCCTTGAATTGGAAAAATAAGGAACAATTCAAGGTTTACAACTATAAAAAATTTATAATTTTAAACCATTGCTTTTGTTAGTAATAAAAATATGTATTAAATAACCATTTAAAATCTTAAAAATCTTCAATTTAAATTTGATTTTTAGCACAGAAATCCTAATTTAAGCTTGAATTTAAAAGTTTTTTTCATGCAAGATTTTAAATTTATCAATGAAAACAATGAGAAAATATTGTATAGTATAAAATTCCCACAGTATTAATAGTCAAATGGTGTATTAACAATAGGTAGAGATCGAAATAAACAGGATTAAATGAGTTACAAGGATATTTCCCTCACGCAAAACAATAAATCATGGATAACAATGTCTCCTTTCTTCAATTTAAAGGAATTGTAAAAATGTTGTAATAATTTTAATGAGATAAGAATAAATTTATGTGAAAGAGGAAGTTAAATAATTTAGGATTTTGTAAAAAACTCAATGAGATAAAGGTGTAAATTAAGGAAATTTTTAAGCTAATTGAATTCATTTTCAACTGAGTAAGCTTGAAGAGAGTTAAATAATTAGTTTTAAATGCTTTTTAATCAGCTAAATTCATTTAAAATCTAATTAACTATTAAGTATAATTAAACATGACTACTAAAAACTTAATTACATCTTTGTGGCGAGTGTAAATGTGTAATTGTAAGAGGTATAAATTAAAAAATATATATGTTATAAATCTTAATTTAAATTAATTTTTTTAATATTTATCCATCAGATATCATCATTTATCATCATCACTGTATAAATTATAGGTTGCATTTAATTAAATTATAAAAAAATATATGTGTGTCTCTGTATATAAGCCCTCATCAATATTTAGAAAAAAATCAAATAAAACAAATAAAAAAGCAAAGGAATTTTTAATTTTAATTAGCCTAATTAAATTAACAAAAGTCATTTTTCATCCTACATGTTCACCAGCATAAAAATGAGTATAATTATCGATAAGAGGTAATAAGAGTAAATTGCTCTCATTTTTTATGAATAAATAACGAAAACAAACATTTATATATAGGCCTATACAATGGAGTCTCGATTATCCGGCCTGAATGGAAACTAATCCGGATAATACGGAACCTTATGTATTACTTGTGTTTGGAAATAGATTGTTAACTCTAAATAAGTTATAATTTCGAGGAACCACCCCTCCATGTGGAGCATTAACATCCACATGGAGATGTGCTTCTTTATCAACTTTAGAACTGTACGCGATTGATCCTTATTAATTCCATGTACAGTACCCAAGTGAATGTTTCATGATACACATTATTTCCATGTCTAAATGAGGATATTCCACGATCCCTGTTAGTACCATTAACTGGATGCTCCACGATTCTCATTAGTTCTATGTCTCAATTTATCTACATGCACGAATTAAAAACAGAATATGCGGCGCAAAAGTAGAAAAGAATACAAAAAATATCGGCAAACGGATAATCGAATACCAAATAATCAAAACGATAAAACAATCATATAATAGCTTCCTTCGTGTAAAGAAGTGCATTTACTGAACCTTGAATGCCCCAAGCCAAGACATTCTATAAAATTTTAATAAATAATTACACTATCTTTCAACAAATACAATCGTTTCTTAAGGGAAAGAAAGTGAAAATATGATACAAACACAAACACACATCAATTTTTTTTTCATTGTTTGTCAACTGAGTCTTTAAACAATCGACGACCCACTTATTTGACCTACTGCAATTGCCAGACTTACTGGAGCCATAAAGTGGTTTTATATCTGGTAATTTCTTTAAGTTGACATTCGTTTAAGGAAGAGGAACTTGCGGTTTAAGTTTTTATAAATAATAATAATAATAATAATAAATTCCATAGAAATAAAACTGAATGCAAACAATACACAGAATAAAGGATATTGTGTGGAATATTTTTAAACATTGCAAGTTATGAAGAATGTCCTATTCAGGATATTTTTAAATCTATTAAATTGAAATTTCGACTATTCTTCTGCTTATCCTGCTCCTAAATATATTAGTGTACAGGAGCATGCTTCTGTAGGTGGGGGGAGCAAACTGGACACCAAGTAAAATTTCCATAAATTAAAATCATAAAAGTGATTGAGATGTGTAAACTTTCACCCTCGACAATGGTCTTAAAAAAACTCCAAAAATTAAATAATTAATTAAAAATTTACTGATGTAATTATTTGTCTCCAAGCTTTGCCTCCTGGAAATTTTCTGCATAGGATATTTAAGTGAAATCCTAATTCTAAATCATGAATACACGAGATATTTGAATTACCTGTTCTTAATTCTACTATTGCATAATCTATACACCACATCCTGATTCTAAACCTATTAATGTATAGGATATTTAAATTTAGATTTGAAATCCTGAAAACCCTGCTGGAAAATCTATTATTGAACGTGATGTTTAAATTAAATCCTAGTTTTAAGTCTATTAATTCACAGGATATTTAAATAGAGTTAATAATTCTCAGGATTCTATACTATTTTATTTTTTCTTGAGATATTTAAATCAATTCTTAATTCTAGATGCAATTCGTGTATAAAAATTCTTAAACGTTAAATTTATTATAGCACAAGAAAGTTAAAATAAATCATAATACTAAATATACAATGAGCAGGATTCTTAAATTCCTTCTATATTTATACAATTTACTGGAATTTACGAGCATAAAAACACATTTAAGTCCTGTAAATGAATATAATTAAGAATGTCTAATACATTACAACTGTGTACACATTCTTCAGGCTCCAGGATATTACTAAGAATAGGTAAAAATATTCTATAAATTTCCCAAATGTTTGTCTTTTTATATACAGGACATATATTTATAAACTATACGGGATATAAATGAATCCTGAATGTGAAAAAAGCCAGGATTTTACAGAATTCCTCAAATGTTCTTGGCCTTTTTTTTCATATACAGGATTCATATACATTCCACAATCTAAAAATGTATATCCTGTACATCTTGTACATTTTTTCATAATATTAATCATGAAGAATGTTTACATATATTTATTTATAGTTTATAAACATACAGAAGTCTTGAAAATTAAAATCCAGTTGCGTAACTTTCCCAGCAAAAGTTAAAATTGTGTGTAGCCCTATCTATTATGAGATTTTATTATTATAAAATGGCAAAAATATTTTCCCCAAAAGAAATCTTAAGTCAACACTGTACGTGGGAACCCCTAATACACTTTCTTCTCTGGCTCCATAAAGGTATATTGCACCATTACCATACTATTACACCTATTAATAAAAATGATACAGTACAGGACCCTTCACGAGCTAGTAATTTTAAAATGTCTTGCATATTATTACGTATTTAATCATGTTTAAATTATTGAAATCAATTAATATGTGATGTGTATTTTTAAATCTTTCCAGTCCCTGTATACGAAGTAATAAACATCAGATCTCTAACTAAACGCGAAATATCCGATGGGGAAATCAAAAGGATATATTTATCTGCTTTCGGAAAGAAGATGAAATTAAACTTGAAGAAGAATAAGGATTTCGAAGAAAGATTAAAGAAATTTAAAGTGTTACTGGCGGAAACTACAAACAATGGACTTAAATACCGCGATGTTACGGCTCAACAGGTACGGTGTTTTAAGTATAATTCGTTCGTGTACTGAATTAATGTAGTCAAACTTCTGCATTTGATCGCCTTTGAATCTGGCATTAAGTCGAGGGTGGCGCTAAACCGAAGTAACTCAAATTATTAGAATTATAAAATGGGCCTTATTTAGGTGTTAGACACGTTAAAAAAACTCCACGTGACCAGGCCAGTCGTGGGTTGATACCTGACCAAAGACACCAACCCACGACGTGCAGCGGTGTTATCCACTCAAGCAATGGTATCTCTCCACTCAAACACTGGTGGTCCAAGTGATATAGTAATAACAATGTCGTTTAAAATGCAAAATGCATTTAATAAATTACAAATAATGAAGATCTCTGCTTAATATCTATGGTACATTACGATCCTTTACAAGATGGCGTTTTATATCGAAGTTTGAATGCAGTTGAAATTAACAATACACAAGAATTCATTCAGTAATTTATAGTACAGTTAATTGTAACCACTAGTGTATAGTATTATTTATAGTAATTTAGTATGTAAGTTATGTATGTATAAGTGTATGTATTATCATATGCCCACAAAAAAATAAGACCTAGATAGAGACCCGAATAGAGTCCGAACCTACGTTTTTCGTTAACATGTTCTGTAACTAGAGCATCAAAGAACGTGGTTTCGAATTGAATTCGAAATAAAACCAAGTATTTTCCGTACAGATCTTCGATTTTTCTTTATGTGGACATTTGGTTTATACACTAAACTTCATATATAAAGTGTTTACTTGGTTACCGTTCGTGTTTAGATGAGTTTATAAACGTTTACACACGAAAACAATGAAGTAGTAATGTTGACATTTGTATAATAGACCTGAATTAAAACAGTAAGGCCTACTTGTCTTCTAAAATTATAATAGCGAAAGCGGGACAAATTACCATTTTGTAATTGTGAATGACCTGCAAAGGGGTTACTTCAGCACCATTATGACTTTTTTTTTGTTTCATATCTTACATAAGACGACTTTCCCTTTTAACAATTGTTATATTTATTGTAAGAAAATTAAGTTGTTCGAGCAAGTTACGTGTCATAAGACTGTACAAAGCGTATAAAAATCAGGAAAACTCTCGAAAATATTTTCATTTTTACGAGTCGAAACGAAAGGGAAGTCACACAATAAACCATTGGTGATAACAGAAACCAATGGTTCCAAACCTTATCTCCCGATCGGCACCAACTATTTCCTATCAAAACTCCACGAATCATTCTCTAATCTGTTGATCTATACCAATGGATCTCTATACTTTTTTTTCATCATTTGACCCAAGAGGAAGTGATCGAAACAAAAAAAATTCCAGCTCATAAAACTTCCGCTTGACCCAATCTGAACTTGCATAAACTTAATAATAATAATAATAACAAAAAAGCAGGAAATTAAAAGGAAGTATGTCGGTCTATCCGAATTTTCTACGAAATCGGAACGCCTAACTTGTCAATTATAACGCTTGATAAAACTGATAAAGCGCAGTTTTCACCCCGGAAAACTGATTTTTATCGACTTTAAATGGATGTTGTATTTATAAATATTACACATAATTATTTTTAGAATCGTCCTACTGAACTTAAACGTTTATTGATTACTGTTTCAGGGAGGTTCATCCGACTTAGGATCTACTTATCACGACGACGAGAAAATGGCAGCCATTTTGATGAGGCAAGCCGAGGACGGAGGAATCGAAATGGCAAGAAATTTTATAGAAATTTGTATAGAATTATGTTGTGTATTAATTAATTATGTAAATTAATTTCAGGAAGGGACGATAGGAAACGATTTTGTCATTAAACCAATCCCTAAAACACTTTACGACTCGTCGTACGTTGATGATGAGATGTTCCTGGATGAGGACGAGCAGATAGAATTGAATAAAACGAGAGCAAATTTCAATAATTCGCAAAATATAGGAGGGAATCATATAGTATTTAAAAGGAAATTTGGAGGATTACACGACCATTCCGACTATCGTAAGATGAAAAAGAAAATCGAGTGTATTTCTTAGAATTTAAACAGTAAATAATCGGGTCTTCTCTCAAGCTTTCCATATACTTCTTGAGATTAACGAAGTACAGACGGATAGACGTACAGTGGGAATGTATAAGCCTGAAATCTGAAAATTGCAGATTCCAGACTTATACATAGGGTGTTTGCTGTACTTTTAATTTCGTTATAACGTTCTAGAATCATAAACTTGTCTTCTTTTGTGAAACCTCTGAAAAAGACCAATTTTGCTCGGGACTGGTGGTCATAAAGTAAGGGTTTTACTGTACTTTTAATACCCTTATAACGGGGTTTAACGTTCTGAGATGATAAACTAGATTTGCAGCCCCCTAAAATAATATTTTTGAATCGGTTGCTTAAACAAGTTCCAATTATAAAAATGGAAAACTTAAGAAAAAAGAAAACAAAAACTATTTTTTCCTCGTTTCCCTGTATAAATTTGTATTTTAAAATTCTAATAAAGTATAAATAACTTCTCCCCATTTAAGCAAAATAGAAGAAAAAAAAACACAAAAAACTAGTAATGTGCAAAGTATTTTTTTAAAAAAAATTCACTTCTCTGCATTAAAATTCAGTAAGCAAAATTTTGATCACGTTACTCACCGGTTACTTGTATAAAAATATGATGTGAATATGATGAATATCGTTCGTTACTCTCGAAAATATTTCCATTTTTATCTCTATTTATAACTCGAAAAATTGCTTGAAAAATTCTATAAATATAACCTGTAAATATATTTTATTTAATTAATATTCTACTTTTTTAAACTATAAATAAAAATCGTTTTCTCTACTTTAAATAAAAACTAAATTTATCTCCACCTGCATCTGTCCTAAGACAAAAATAGATATCCAGATTCGATTTTTCCATGTAAAATAACGTTATAAACCGCAACCTGTCTAACGCGGACACCCGACTCGACTAACGTAACCTGTGCAAAGCGGATTTTCGGCGTAACAGAAGATAATTTCTGAATTAATGCACATTTCGTGGTTATTTATTCTTCTGTTCGCCCTATACAATTTTACTATTTGCCTTTGAAACTAATGTATTGGAGAAGATGGAGAAGTACAGTAAAACCTGTGTAAACCGAAATCGCACGGTACCGTATATTTTTTCCGGCTTGAGCAGGTTTCCATTTTAAACAGGTGTATTTATTTTTTAACATAGAAAATCTCTCCATTACGAAGAAATTTCTTCCTTTTAGGTAGGTTTTTGTTTTAGACAAATTTTTATTGTATTTAAACTTACCTGTAAAGTAAAACCTGTCTAAAATGGGTGCTATCGACCAGAATTTTCCATTTTGCCAAGTTTCCGTTTTATAAAGGTTTGTTTTTATTAAGCTATTACATCCAAAAAGTCCCATTTCCGTGTTAGACAGGTTTCTGGCTTATATCTTGCATAGATACCAGCTCTTTCCGAGATTTATCTCTGTAGAGGGTCCGTTTTAGACGGGTTTTTAGTTACTTTTTTTAAAATATTTTTTATTAAAATGCCTTTTAACACATGGAACTGCCTTACACTCGAAATAACGCTTTATATTTTTATTTATTAACTTGTATTTTTTAAATAAATACAAGTTTATATTAAGTAAAAAGTTATAAAACTATTAAAAAAAAAACTATATTTAGTAAGCACGTTTCTACAAAATTTCCTTTATAGAACAAGTGAAAAAAAAGTAATTCCTTGTTAGAAAACACGTTCTCCCACACCAACAAAATTCGTTATAAGCATAAAATATAATTAATCCTGCTTACAAATGTTAAAATTTCCATCTAACCTTTACTTTATCTTTACATTCACGTCTTAATATACAGTGAAACAACCTCTGAAAGACCACCTTTGCGGTCGCAAAGTAGGTGTTTCATTGTACTTTTACTTTCCTTATAACGGGGTTTAACGTTCTACAATCATAAACTTTGTCTTCTTTTGTGAGAAACCCCTCTAAAAGATCACTTTTCTTCGAAACTGGTGGTCACAAACTAGGGGTTTTAATGTACTTTTAATGCCCTTATAACGGGGTTTATACATTCAGGGGTGATAAACCAGACTTTTTTTTTAGGTGTTAAGCTTGACTTTCTAATAAATTGGAGAACTTTAATGTAAGTTTTCTACCTAGTTAACATGGAATCAGCTAGTCTACTCAACACCTCAAAGCTGCATCAAGCTTCTAGTTCAAGAAGAAAAAGAGCAGCACCAGATACAGTATGGCCGGAAGTACTAATGGTCGCCGATTACGATACTTTTCTTCTTCACGGAAGTAACAGTCGCGATGTTAAACGTTATTTTGTTAGCTTCTTTAATGGAGTGAGTATTATATTTACTCGCAAAGCATCATTGACTACCATTTATTTATTTATTTTCTTTATCTTAACTCGTAATACTTTCAGGTCGATCTTCGTTATAAATTATTAAGTTTTCCTCGAGTTAGGATCAGTTTAGCCGGAATGATTGTGGCTAAGGTATGGAATTGATTTATTAAATTTAATTAATTTACTTTTTTTAAATAATTGGGCTATAACCAGGCTAATTTAATGATTACATATAAAACAATTTGGCTATAGACGGGCGTCGAAACGCCCTCTGATGGTAAATTTAATTTATTTCTAATTATTAAATTTACCATAAGAGGGCGTTCGAACGCCCGTCTATAGCCAAATTGCTTTATATGTAATTATTAAATTAGCCTCGTCGTAGCCCAATTTAAAACACGGCAATTGTTTGGCATTAATTTCCTTCGTTAAATATGACTTATTTTACCTTAAATAGAAGATATTTATCTCTATTTAAGGTAAAATAAGTCATATTTAACAAAGGAAATTAAGATGAGGTTGTGTAATTTATGTATGTATCCGAGCGAAGCGAAACAAAGAAAAAAATTGCCGATGTGTTTTATGTACTGTACTTTCAAATTTCAGTTAGTTTAATGATCCGAAACGGGAGTAAGAAAAAGTATTTTGAGTTATAAAATATGGCAGATTTTCTCGTGAAAAATTATTTATTTTATTAAATACAATCCCTATTTTATCCTTAAACATTATGGTTTACAAGAAGTAAAGTTTTAATCCCTGAAAAATCGCTTTAAAAACTTGTTTTGTAAATGATATGCTTACATTTCCTTAGAAGAAGACCTAATTTTCTTGTTTTGCTCGGTGAATACACGCAGAAAATTCACTTCCTGTACTCCAAAATGGAATTTGAACTGGATTTTTTTCGGATGATTTGAAACGAGAGCGAAAATAACCTGCAATAAAACCCAAAAATTTAAGAAAATTTAAAACTATGCATTAATTTACATTATTAAAAATAAAAATTAAGGAGTTTAATGTGTTATTGTCGCGATTTTTGTGTAAGGATCGGGATGCCACGCCTTATCTAGAGAGAAATCGTCTACGTCATCCTAATCACGATGCTGTGGATGCTGCTGGTGCATTGACAGATATGGGAAAGTACCTGTATCGTGAAAATCGTTTGCCCACTTACGATTTGGCAGTAGTCATTACAAAACTAGATATGTGCAGGAGGAGATTCGAAGGAGGGAGATGCAACAGAGGAACCGCAGGCAAGTGATTTAGATAACATAGATAAGTTGCATAAATGTGAAAGTGTATAAAATAATGAACTCTTTTTTTTCTAGGTTTCGCTTATGTGGGGGGTGCTTGTGTAGTCAACAAACGTCTGGAGAAAGTCAACAGTGTGGCAATCATCGAGGACAGTGGAGGATTCAGTGGAGTCATTGTAGCTGCTCACGAAATAGGTCATCTGTAAGTGCCCTTTGACATCGCGTGTCATCCTACTAAAAAGTTTCCCTATAAAAATATATTCTTTTTTTCGGAACTATTCTAGTTTATGCTTTAAAACAAAACAGGTATTCTCACCCCCTCAATTTACAATTCTGTGTTTAAGTAATTTGAGGTTAATAACGGCGTGGGTAATGATGTATCAAGGATCTGAGAGGATAGATTTTTTTCTTTTTTTTCCTTAATAACTAAAATAAAATTAATGTGTTTCCTCAGTTTGGGTTGCGTACACGATGGTTCACCACCCCCCAGTTACTTAGGAGGACCAGGTGCTACTCATTGTCCTTGGGAAGATGGTTTCATTATGAGTGACCTGAGGCATACAGAACGAGGATTCAGATGGTCTTCGTGTAGTATCGAACAATTTAAACACTTCTTGAAGTATGTCGTCACCACCCCATCCTCTTAATTTACTAATTAAATTCGTTGTTATTAATGAAAAATTCGTTATAGCGGCGAAACAGCATCGTGCCTTTATAATTTCCCACACGAAAATGATCTCTTACCTCGAGTACTACCAGGCACCATGTTCACGTTAGATGAACAATGCAAACGAGATAGAGGAACAACCGCCTGTTTTGTAAGTAATTTTTATATCATTTTAATTAGTATAGTAGTAAAAGTTGTTTTCACACGACATTTCTTAACAATTTGTATAAAAATCCACCTAATTTTACGTGTTCATCAAGGCTGAAGTACATAAATACGCACCCAAATTAGATACAGGCCGGGTTGGCACCTAACAAAGAATGTTCCATTTCTTTTGTACATTGAACATTTGATGTTTATGGACGGAATTTTTGTATGTTAAAGCTAAATTTATATGAATAAATATAGCTTTTACATGATATTAATGTGTAAAATATGTACAAATGACTGGTGGATACTTTAAAGTTTCCGAATATCCACCCGTAATTTAAACGCGCGTACACCCAAATTAGTTATACCACTGGTTGGCATTCAGCCAAGAACGTTACATATCTCCTGTAAGTGGAACAATTAATGTTTTGGATTAGAATTTTTGTATACAGAACCTGTAATATATTTTAAAAATAGTTTTTATTTAATAAAATGAATCTATACGGATTCATAATAATGATATTTCAATTTATATTCTTCAGAAAGATGCAAGGGTGTGCGCCCAACTCTTTTGTTTCGATAGTGCATCAGGATATTGTGTATCCTATCGCCCTGCTGCAGAAGGATCCAGCTGTGGGGATGGTCAGGTAAATATTTACACAAATTCCTATGTAAGTATAACAGGATTCATACGTGGGCAGAAATTTTCATGGGTGGATTAACCACGATAAGTGGGACCAAGAACATTTTAGCTCAATTTCTTTAGAAGCATTATACAAATACATATATAGAATAATAATAATAGTAATGAGCCTTAAAAAAGGTAAGATATGCCCATTTGTTAATGAGCCTCTTCTCTCAACATTAATATGGACCTGACTTTAAGAAGGTAAGGCCTTTAACTATGATAAGGTATGCAAATTGTTAAATGCGCTTTATTTGGAGCCTTGTCTTTCAACATCCATGCGGACTGGCCAAATCTATAATGGGTATAATTAAAAGGCCTTAGTGCTCATAGGTCAAGAGCCAGAAGTAAAAAATAACAGGAAATGGAATTCATCTAGAAAATGAATCATTGAATGAACTATAATTTAGTTTTCATAATTATATTTTCCAGTTTCTAAGTAGAGCTGAACAATATTGTTTAGTAAACTAGTTTAACAGATACAAAGGAAGAAAAATCCTACATTTTCACATTAAATGTACCTTTAAATTAAAGTTTATAGGCATCTTTTCATGTGTACAGGTGTGCAGAAATGGAAAGTGCATCACAGAAATAGATAACATCATCCCAGATTACTCTCACGTTACTCAAACTTTTGTCAATGGACCACAGAGTAGGGCGGATACCGAAGAGGTACCACAACCTTCTCAGAGATCCAGATACAGGTCGAGAGTGCGTCAACACACTACTACTCAGGGCAGCGTGAAAGAAGCGGATGTATATACAACGGTGTCGGATGAAGACGGTATAACGCATGTTCTCCTTAATTAATTTATGAATCTGTATGAATCTAGCTCATAAAATTATGTGTGTCTTTAGATTGTCAAGATAAAAGTGAACAATTAGCAAGAGGATTGGATTGCAAGAGATTTTTCCAAAGATTTGGCACAAGATACTGCGGACATCAATTTGTGAAACAGAATTGCTGCAAGACTTACGAGAAAATGTGCAAAAAGAGTTAATGTTAAATCATGTGTATAAATTTTTAGAACTATTTTTTTTTTTAAATTCATTTCTTGCACAAACTGCCCCATTGGAATTACACAAACTGCTCATAAAGAACACACTTCCCTTTTTTTTAATAGTTGAATGAAACTTTAAACATTCCAAACTGGAGCAAAATCTTTTATACATCAGTTCAGAATGTTTAAAGTTTTGCACTTTTATGGTCAGTTTAGTGCAATGTGGATTATTTTAGTGAGACTATTATAAATGTTAGTTAAATTTGAGGTCAGTGTACTTCAAATTATTATTATTATTATTTTGATTATATTATTTGTTAATTATAAACAATTCAGTCATATTTTCCTGTTTTTCTGAATGGCTGAAATACGTATAGATGATTTACTATTTTATTACCACAAGCAGTGGCGGTTTTAGGCGGCAAGAGGCCCTAGATAAGCGTAAACTCACGAGGCCCCCTTTTATACAAGTCTATAGCGTAATGCCCTCATCACAAAGTACGTAATATTGTATAAAATTTAAGGACTTAGCTAGTACTGGAGTACAAAGTATATGTGCACATCTAAGGCCTCTAAAAGTGTGAGGCCCTAAACATAAGGCTCAATGCCTAAAACCATCACTGACAATGAGCCAATAGTAACAAAATAGAAAAACATATTTCATTTTCATATAATAAAATATAATTCACTAATTAACTATTAACAGAAATAAGCAATAAAATTAGAAGAATGCTTTCATATAATTGTTTAAAATTAAAAAAAAAAATTATAAAAGTAAAAAAATTAATAATAAAACAATAATATAATCTGTCGTGTGTTTATATGCATCATTTTAATAAAATAATGAGAATCAATAACTTAAATTCTGAATATTTATGTGAATATGTAAATGTACATTTTGAATGCCAGCAGATAATGTGTTGGACATATGAGAGAATAATTCCGGGTGATGGCTTCTATTAAAAAAAATACTCAGCTCATTTCTCTCAAAAACACTGAGCAACCTGTTTATAAATAATAAACACAACTGAAACATCAGGAAAAATTTAAGTCAGAAAACTCCTTAAAAAATCCACAGAAAACAAGTTTTGAGATTAAATGATAGATTTAATAGGTGGATATAAACAGTGAAACAATCATAAAATTCCAGTCTCACTATTTGTCTCCATGAGGACTTCTCCGTGCAATATCTTGTGCAGAAATCCTCACAAAACAATATCAAGATTAAATCTTGAATGAGATCTTGAAAAAGTCAAGGGAAAGCAATAAAGATCAATGGGGGAGACTTCCATAAGATCTCATTTTTTATGAGGAAATCAATAAATTTCTGGACTAAATCATCCGAGACTTTGTCTCTGAATCTTTTATGTTATTGTTTTCTATGGACTTTAAGGATTTAGACTTAAAAAAATAGTAAATTATTATTTACATTTATTAATA